TCAAAAATGTTCAGGAGATTTCGAAGGTCTTTTACGTTTGTGCAAAGACCACAAACTTATATTAGATACAATTAAGTGTGAAAAGTGTGGCGCAGACTGCCGGACCGATTTGAACAAAAAACTTTTCCGGTGTGACAAATCCCGGAAAATACATAATAGGCGTGTCAGGTGCCAGTTTCAAAGGTCCATTTTCAAGAACACTTGGTTTGAAAATAGCACACTCGACATAGAAACTAATTTGTTATTCGTTAATTTATATATTAATTAATTTATATACCTCGTAAAAGATTAGTGGTCCTCAAAAAATTGTTGAGATCGATGAGAGCAAATTTGGAAAGCGGAAATAAAATGTTGGCCGTCTAATAGTGGGTGTTTGGCGGCGTTTACCGTCAAACAAAACAATTTTTCCTTGTCCTAGTGCCTTCGAGAGACGCAGAAACGCTCCTCGCAATTATTAAAGAAAAAACAGAGCCGGGAACCACCATAATAAGAGATTGTTGGAAGGCATATAAATGTCTTCAACATGAAGGACTCAAACACCTTACAGTGAACCACTCGCTTAATTTCGTGGACTCTATTACAGCCGCTCACACAAACACCATTAAAAGGAGGTGGAGAGACGCAAAGGCGAAAGTTCCTCGCTACGGTAGGAGAAATACCCCTTCGTGGGCTATTTGGCTCGGGCGATGTTCCAGACGAACTTCCCCGAGACCAGCAAGCGTCTGCACGAATTCCTCCTTGCCGTAGCTCGCCTGTAACGCCACACTAAGGTATGTAAAATGTAATTCGGTAAAACGTGTTCGAGAGGGGGTTCGAAGCGGAGACCACTGCTGCTGAAGCACGGCGATCGGCTAGGGAAGCACGGCCATCGGCTAGGGAAGCACGGCGATCGGCTAGGGAAGCACGGCCATAGGGAGGGGTCGGGGCTAGCCCGCGCGTTAGGAATTTTTTTCGTTTTTTACGGCCTCCAGCTAGTTAAGTATGGCGATCGGCTAGGGAAGCACGGCGATCGGCTAGGGAAGCAGCGGCCATCGGGAGGGGGTCTGGGGGCGTAGCCCCCGCGTAGGATTTTTTTTCGTTTTTTACGGCCTCCAGCTAGTTAAGTATGGCGATCGGCTAGGGAAGCACGGCGATCGGCTAGGGAAGCACGGCCATCGGAGGGGGTCTGGGGGCGTAGCCCCCGCGTTAGGAATTTTCGTTTTTACGGCCTCGCTAGTTAAGTACGGCGATCGGCTAGGGAAGCACGGCGATCGGCTAGGGAAGCCATGCGATGCTAGGGAAGCACGGCCATCGGTTAGGGAAGCACGGCGATCGGCTAGGGAAGCACGGCGATCGGCTAGGGTTGTAACTCATTAACTCATTTTCCCACTTCCTTTACCATTAAAATTACGATTCCTGGCTCGGGTTTTTCATTTTTCCACTTATTTTATTTTTGTATTAACGCTTGTTTGCTATTTTCTCCATATCCCCCCCCCCGAAAAAAAACGGTTCCCCACGGGATCCCCCAAGATTGTTGGCTGGAGTCGGGGACTTTTTCCTGGGCGGGGGTTGGGGGCGGCCGCCCCCCATGGGGGTGTGCAGGGGCTGCATTAAACAATATTGTGACTAAACCGGTACCGTGATTATAGCAGAAATTCCAGAGTACACATGCATTATATCAAGAGTGGCGCAACTCTGGTATGGAAAAGACAATCTAGCCATTTCCGATGGAAACGAACACCAGAATCAATCGAACAAAACAATAGAAATCGAACGAATCTAGTTTTGTCCCGAAAAGCGTTGGTGACGTCTTTTTTTTTTCCAAATTTACCAATTTTCCAATAGCTTTCGTCGTGTTTCGAACAGATCTAGCTCTTATTGCTTTCGCAAACGAAGCATAATTACGATATCGGTCCCGATAGCTGGGTGGTGGTGTGGTGGTGGTGGGGGGGGGGTGATACATATCAGGGATTTTTGGGGGTAATTTCGAGAAATATTGGTAGAATACTAGTCAGCATAGTATGTTAACACATTTTTGTATACTATTTTAGTGGCCTAAAAAAATTCTTTTATAAAGTGTTTTTTATGCGTACATTTAATGTTTACATGATGTCATTACAGTAATATAAAAGTGAGGTTGCTGACGCAGAAAAAAAAACATACAAAAAGAATGATATTGATTAATTTACAATTTGCTGAAGCTTTTATATATGAAAATTGTCACTTATAAGAGCAATTCACAATATATTTGAACTATAATTGGTGACCCCTAGACTCGATCATGCCACTCGAGACGACTTCTGGCGAGACGAAGGATGACGTCGAATCTCGCTCTATCGACGCCGTAGCAGCGAAGTTGTCCCCCTTTTGCCCACAGGCGTGCAGAAATCCAGTTTCGCCTGAGAAAAGTTACATACCCCTGCACCAAGGCAGATTACGTGTTGGAGGCAATCTTCGAGCAGTGTTTCCTCGTGTCGCCGCTTAGTTGGACAACCAGGACCAGAACCAAGATGTCGAATACGAAAACTTGAAGACATGCCACCTGCATGAGTTCAATCTTGCAGGTGGGGCCATCACTCCCTGCTACGATGGCCTAGAACCGGAGACATGGGAATGTCAACGTACTTGACCACTCAGCTTCGGGCTTCTTTATTACAGACTCCTTATCTGGCCACAAGTTTCTCGTGGATACAGGTGCCTTCCATTCTCTATTCCCAGCCACGGCAGAAGACAAAACTCGCTCCTGGTTACGATCGTCAAATATCAAACTCATTGCAGCCAATGGAAGAATCATTCCAATGTATGGTACCCAGACTATCCTCTTCCAAGCAGCTGGACGCAGCTTCATAGGGACTTCATCCTTGCCGGTGACTTCCTTGGTCACCACGGACTAATCGTTGACATCGCCAACCGTAGGCTCTTGGATGTGACAACCTTCCGCTCAACACCCGTTGGTTCCCGCCACTGGTGCACAGAAATCTGCACTGTGGGGACACACGCCCCTTACGACATCCTCTGCAAAGATTTCCCAAACGTTTTCCGGCCAGCCAGCCAAACATGGAATATTTCACCACATGAAGACGACAGGCCCCCGGTATAACCTTATCCCCAGAGAAGCTTCAAGCAGTTAAACAAGCTTACTCCTAAATGGAATGAATGGGCATCTGTCAGAAGGCATTAAGTCCCTGGGCATCTCCTCTGCACCTTGTGCAGAAACCTGTAGGCATCTGGCGGCCATGTGATGACTACAGGCATCTTAACCTGATCACGGAACCAGACCACTATCCTCTTCCTAACATGGCGGACCTTACACCCAACCTTCATGAAGCCAAGGTTTTCTCTAAGCTCGACCTCCTGAAGGCTACTTTCTAGTACCAGTCTAACCAGAAGATATACCCAAGACGGCATTACACCCTTCGGGACTTACACCTCTAACCTCTTCACATTCGGCCTCCGAAATTCAAGGGCTACCTTTCAACGTCTGATTGATGGCATCCTCGGAGACCTTCTCTTCTGAGCTTGCTATGTAGATGACATCTCCAACATCTCTGGGTCGTGTTAAAACGACTCCATGGTAATGGCCTGGTGGTGCGCCAGGACAAGTGTCAATTTGGTGCTACATCCGTGGAATTCCTCGGACATAAGATATCGCCAGCAGGCGTCTCTCCCCTCCAAGTGAGGTGGACGCAGTTTCACAATTCCCTGGTCCATCACTAACAAAGGAATTCAAGATTTTGTCGGCATGGTAAACTACTACCATTGTTTCCTTCAAAGATTGCACACATCATGGAACCATCCTACAACTCCCTTGCCGGCAAACCAAAGAAATTGGAATGACTCAAGCAACAAAAAGCTTTCGAGGACACCAAGACCGCCTTCGCATCAGGTACAACTCTCACCTTCCCTAGACCCGACATTACAGTCACGCTCCACAGACGCAAACTCTGTTGCTGTTGGGGCTGTCGTTGCACAGACCAGGGGTAAGACACGTCCTCTGGATTCTTCAGCAGAAAGCTATGGCGAGTGGAGGTGAGATACAGCACCTTCGCGAACTACTCGCCATCTATCTTGCAGTTCGCCAATTTAAACATCTAGAAGGCATATATGTATATATATATACACATGCATACATACACACACACACACACACACACACACACACACACACACACACACACACACACACACATATATATATATATATATATAATATACACACACACACACACACACACACACACACACAACACACACACACACACATAACACACACACACACACACACACACACACACACACACACACACACACACACACACACACACACATTTAAACGTATATATATAAGTATACACACATAAACACACACACATATATAACAATTCGTTCTATTAACAGGTGTGGGAAAGAGGGTGTATCATTGTCGTCCTTTCATCTTACAGGTTCTGAGTTCTGCGTTTCCTCCGAGACATTTCCGGGTGAGCTTTGTGAGAAGAATCGGGACCGGCTGGATCTCTGGACTGGCTCTGAGACTAAGTGGAACGTAGAACCTGCTAACATAACTTCCGGTATGTGTTTTGTTTGTGGTTGTAATTCATTACAGTTTATTGTTTTTCTTAAGCTGTTGAAAATGATTATGTTTCAACTACCACCGTCACTCATCCAAAAGTAATACAGTAAAAGGTAAACAGATACAAGAAATTTTAATATTACTAGAATATCAACAATAACTATCATGCCATTTATGATGTTAATTATTATAATTACAGCTTTACTTGTCTCGTCTCTCCTTTCGCTAATTTAATTCCAAAATCATATTGTATGTGACTGCGGACTTGATGTCGCTTCGGTCTGATGTAAGATGGGAATGAAAATGAATGAAAAATTTTAAACTTGAAAATCAAACACACGTTTCATAAAACAAAACTATTAGAATCCTAATATAACTATTAAAATTATTATTACTATCTTCATATCATAATTGCAGTTGTTATTATTATCATTGTCACTTTATTCTTATATATTAATATGGTTATGGTATTTTTGATGACAACTAAAACCGAAACAAGACTTTAACCTTGCCATCCGATGAAACGCAACTTTCTAAGACACTTTTATTCTATAGCATATACTTCGTAAACTAACGATAAGGGTAAAGAGGATGTAAAACTCTTCACTTCCAGCCGCTCCTTGGTTGTAGTATAAGGCCTAGTACCGAGAAATATTATGATAAATGAAGATGTTTTGAATATGTAAACACATGAATTAAACGCTGTATTCGAATCGGATTTAAACTTCTCTGATTGCATATATAGTTTTACCTCGATCATTCGCCTTTACTCGCAATTTCTCTGTTACTTACCATGCCCCTTCCAGGTACCGGAAGGGGCATGGGAATGATTGCTAGATTTGTTCAAAACACGACGAGAGCTTTCAGATAAACATGGTCTTCACCGGAAGTCGGTGCTAGACGTCATTTCCAAATTTACCTTTATTATTACCATCGTCGTCATCATCATTATCTTCGCTATTGTTATTATCATTACTATTTATATTATAATTCTGCTTGTGTTTCGTCCGTTCTCACATAACGCATTAAGTATCATGCAAGCGCGAAACAAGGACATTGTAATGAAGAAGTTAGACAGTCAGTTTTTGCCCATTCATTATTTACACGACTGGCTGAGAGGGGGGTGGAGTTAAGAACGAAGGTAAGAGGGGAAGGGGAAAGAAAGGAGAAAAGTTGGGAATTAAAGAAAGTGGGTAGGGGGACAAAGGGAGAAGGGGGTTTAAAGAAAAAGGGGAGATGGGGAATTGGAAAGTCACAGGAAACGGAAGGGGACTTCAAGAAGGAGGTGGGATGGGTAAAGGGAAGGGAGAAGGAGCTCAATGGGGGATGGGGGAGTGAAGCAAGGGGAAAAGGATGTGGAGTTAGGGGGATGTCAAGAAGGAAGGGGAGGGCAGTGGGAGTCCTTCCTACTGCCCTCCCACTGGGAGATGGAAAGAAAAGGGGAGAGAGGAGGAGAGAAGTAGAAGGAAGAATGGGAGAGGAACGGAGAAGTGGAGGGAGAGGGAAAGGAAAGGGAGTGAAAGAGAGAGGGGAAGATAAAGTTGGAGAAAGAGAAAGGGGGCAAGAATAGGAAGAGGTGGTAGAAGGGGAAAGGGAAAGGAGAAGATAGAAGAGAAAGGGAAAGACAAATAGGGAAGGGAGAGGTAGAGAAGTAGGAAAGGGAAAGGGAGAGAGGAGGCAAGAGAAAGGGAAAGGAGAAAGTAGGAAGAAGTGGGGGAAAGAGTGGGGAGGGAAAGAGGGAGGAAGGGAAAGACTGCAAACCCTCTCTTTTGTTTACATTGATCCTCTTCATTTTTCTTTAGTGGAATTTCCCTCTGGTAGGAGTAATACTGATGACGATAACGTTACTGCTGATGATAATGAAAATAAAACAAAATCACACCAATAGTAAAATCATGATACTTGTTTTTACTACAGCCATTACCTATGACGGTATTGGCTATGTGTAAAATTAAATCGCAAAATAAGAAAGCAATACATCTATTAGCAATTTTGTCCGAACAACGCTTTAAAGACCATCAAATGAAGGTGCCTCAGTGACAAGTCTATTCAACATTATTTTGTCGAATTCTAGTTCCCAAGTGTAATTAACTGCAACAATATTTATTTCGGTGTAGAGCATGTGAGGCCAGACAACTATAAAGAAAGGAAATAATAAAAAAAAAAAAAAATCCTAATACATCATAGTTCAACAACATTAAAGAAAAACGAAAAAAGTAAAACATATCTCATTAAACTAAATATATGCTTACAGGATGCAATCAATACTCCCTTCTTTATCTCGCCTTGGATCTGCACGACTCGCCCACCAAGCTGCTCTGGCGGCCGGGCGAACGCGCCGAGAGCTTGCGCTTGGGTTTATGGCGAACTGGAAGTAGAAAAAATGTATTTATAGTTCCCCGGAAAACCGATTCACAACTTCAGTATGACATGACATTTCAGCGTGTGTCTGATGGTGAGTATACTTAGATTTAGAATTTGTATTCGATGAATTCAGCGCATTTTTAGGTGAGCTGGAAAGGTGCCTATATGTTTGAATATGCGTATGTATAATAATGATAATACCAAGATTAATGGAGATATCAAGGATAGTGTACGCTCATTGGAATAACCAGATTAATACGCCTGACTCAGATGCCTCCTGTGCTGTAACGAGTGCTAGCATCAATGTCTCCCGCATTTGCCTGAAGGATCAAAAGGAAATAATCTACATATCCATTGCAAGCCTCGACGACAACGGCTCTGAGACTCCAAGTTACTTTTCCTTCAACTGTGAGGATGGTGCAGGTGAGTTCTCCGTTACTCTTCCCAAGATCTCAGGAAAATTCATGTAAAATTCTCGGCAAGTGCTATACAGAATATGTTTGCGGTGGTGAAAATGGTAAAAGGATTAGTAATGCAAATAATGATGACATACAAATCACAGTATTGATAATAACGAAGGTATCACAATAATGAAAATAATTATAGTAGTAGCAATGATAATTGATGGTAGCGGTAGCGGTAACAGCTAAAATAGTGACAACTTAAGTAATGGTAAGATTAATGTCATGCATTGTAGCCAAATAGAAAAACTTCTGTAAATTAAATATTATAAATAACTTATTTTTGTTATTCCTAAAGCCTTAGCTTATAAATGTCTTCTAGGCTGGCAAACCGGCGCAACGGCTTCAAGTCCTGATGACAACAGCACTGAAGGTCAGTCTGAGGATGGCACAGGTCAGTCTAACCCTTTCCTTCCAGTGAGGTGCCGGTTAGAAAATTAATCATAGCTAACACTAACAATAATAACAATACTAATAGTAACACTAATAATAACAATGATGGTATAATAATAATAATAACAACAATGTAATAATAATAACAATAATAACAACAATGGTAATAATAATAACAATAATAACAACAATGTAATAATAATAACAATAATAACAACAATAATAATAATAATAAATATATAATTATATATAATTATATATAATGATAATTATAATAGTAATAATGAATACTGATAGTAAACTGCAATAACGAGAAAACAACACCAATAGTATAGTAATAATAATAACAATAATGCTAATGATAATACCAATAACAACAATGATACTGATAATAAAGATGATGATTATAATAATGATAATAACAATAATAACAATAATAATATAATTTCGATAATAATAATAAAAACAATGATAATGATGTTAATAATGATGATCATGATGATGATAATAGTAATGATAGCAGTGACCATAAAAATAATGATAATGATAATAATTGACATAGCAATGATAATGATAATATGATATAATTAATAACTGATACAGATGGTGCTAACATTTATGATAATGATGATGGTGATGATGATAATGATGATAATGTTGATAATAATGATAATAACAATAATGGTGATAATGATAATCATGATAATAATAATAACAAATAATACTGATAATAATAATGATATAATAAAGAAGTTAATGGTAAAGATTATGTTAATCATGTTATTGATGATAAAGATAACCCTAGTATTAAACATCACTGATAATAAGGCAGGAAATGGTAGTATGGTAATAATGATAGCAAAAGCAAAAGCGAGATGTATCATGCTATGTAGCCAAGTAGGAAATATTTGTAAACAGTCTAATGGTAATTTAAGACGGCTAGCACAAGTGACAAACGCTGTGTCCTAATGACATCAACAGTGAATTTGATATTGGACAACCTTTTGAAAACTGGCAAAACAGTACATCCACACAAATTGTCCGAGACATCGACTTTCTTTAGAGCTAAGTCATCTTGTTGCTTTAGAAAACGGGATCAAGATCTGAGAGCGTGACAAGTTCTAAGAGCGAATCTGACTTTCCTGTTGCGACGTCGACTGGGAGGCGGATCTCATGGCTGAACATCAGGTGCGAGGGTGTGAAGTGAACCCCGTGGCCTCGTGTTCCACTGCTCGGTACGCCATTATCATGTACGAGACCCATTCATCCCACTCATGCTGGTCCTCCTCGCAATACTTAGCTAGTTGAGTGACATGGGTAGCATTGAATCTCTCCACCATGGCATCACCTTGGGGTCGCAGGGATGTTGTGCAGGTTTTGTGGACCCCAAGGAGGCGACAACACTCCCTAAAAAAAACTAAACAAACTCTTGGCCCTGGTCGGAATGTAACTCCCCTGCAACCCCAAAGCGGGTGAAGACTTGGGTCACTAGGAATTCTGCGAACATCTCTGCTTCATGGTCAGAAGGGCACAAGCCTCTAGCCACTTTGAGAAGCAATCCATTGCCACACAGATATACTTGTTCCCCCTTTCAGTGCAGAGGAAGGGACCAGCGATGTCCACAGCCATATTTGCCCTGGCCTGGTACAGCTGCACAAGTGCACATGTCTTTTGTGTAGGCCCCTTCTTTGCTCTGCACACCTGACAGGTCCTGTACCACAATGACATCCTGTGACAGGCCAACCCAGTACACGCCCCACTGTAGCTTCTCCATTGTCTTCTTGATCCCTAAGTTGCCGCTGGCCTTCCCATTGTAAACCTTCAGCAGTCCCTCATGGTAAGACATTGGAGCCACTACTAACCACCGTAGCTTTCAGGTAGCAGCATCCACTGAACTCCGCTGCAATAAGCCATTCTCCAGGTGAAATGCCTCCTACTGATCCACAAGTTACTTGGTTACTGCGCTTTCTAGGGATACGGCCTCCCACTCTGTTTCTTGCTTGCTTCTAGTCACTGAATAACTGGTGCCAGAACCTGGTCAGCTTCGGCTACAGTCTCACTAACCATCAACCTCCAACAAGTGATTTTAGACTCGCGACGAGAGCAGTGATTACAGTCAGGCTCGCAAGGACGGTCGCTGAGGCTATCAGCATTGCTATGAACACGCCCAGGCCGATGCACCACCTGGTAATTATACTACTCCAGCTTCCCAAGCCATCTCAGCAACTTAGCTTGTGGCTCTTAAAGTCTTTAACTATCTCAGAGCAGCATGGCCTGTCCTGATGGCAAACTGTGCCCCGTATAGGTAGTGATGGAAGTGGGAGAGTCCCTTCATGATGGCAGCCAGCTCCTTGTGAGTGACAGTTTCTTGCACCCTTGGAAAACTTGGAACTGTAGTAGGCTACCACATACTCCTGGCCATCTTTGAGCTGTGACAAGACTGCATCTACTCTTTTCTGACTAGCATCTGTGTTTAGGATGTAGGAGAGGCTGGGATCCGGGTATGGCAATACTGGTCTTTATACCAGAGTTTGCTTGCAAGTCTACAAAGGCTTGCTGGCATGCCTTATCCCACACAGAAATCGCTCCTTTCCTAGTCAGCTGATGCAGTGGTGTAGCTATGGTGGCAAAGACAAATCTGCTGTAGTATGTGCACAGTCCCAAGAAGCTTCTGGTACTTCTGTATGGAAAGGGGTGCACTTCTTGGGGCTGAGTTTTAAGTTGGCAGCTTTGAAACGACACATCACCTCAGGTGCTCCAACTCCTAGGAGGTGATTCCAAACATCAATACGTCGTTTAGACATACTAAGGCCTTGTTCCATTAGGCGTTCAAAGCATCCAGGGCCGTTGCATAAACTGAAAGGCATGACATTAAAGTGCATTGGTCCCGCGAACAGCCGCTGCGAGGGCGCCATTTTGTAGACATTATGACATTCATCAGTCGCGCACCCCAGAAGATCGTGTTTACACCGTATGCTGACGCGACTGAACTCCGTCCACGAGAAAATCCAGTTCACCGTGATGGAAGAAGTGGATCACATATTCAGAGTCGCCGCCTTCTCCTCCAGCCGGCGAGACCTGCAGGGAGAGAAGCAGCAGCTGTGGCGAGGGCCCTTCTGAAGCACACCCTCGGGTCCTCGAAGCGGAAGATAAAGATCGGGTGCATTCAGGAAAACGGCGCGGCATCTTGTGACATACAAATCCATAAATTAAATGCACATATGCACTCATTCACTCACTCTTTTTCTCTCACGCACACACACACACACACACTCACACATTGTTAACAATGGAAGAATTGGCGGCCTTCCAACGTGAAATAGAGGCTGATTCTACCGAGGCTTTGATCGATGCATGTTGGACTATGTTGCGGTAGAAGAATATGCCGCGTGGTCGAACTAACCCCTGACCAAAAGAGAAAGTGGTATTCTCTTTATCCTCCTCTGCCACTTCCACTTAACGGTACCCAGACTTAAGGTCCAACATGGAGAACCATTGAACCTCGGAGTGCATCCAACGTGTCATCAGTGCGAGACAAGGGGTAGGCATCAGTGATGGTGACAGTGTTCAGAGCTCGGTAGTCCATGCAAAAGCGTTTGCCACCACCAGGGAGCCTCAAGGACTGTTTGTATGCTCTATAATGCTGGCCTCCGCCATTTCCTCTACCGCACACTGCATCTCCTCTCTCTTTGCAGGTGGTACTCGACAATGTGACTGCTTAATGGGGAGGTAATGCCAACTTCTGTCCACTGTTTCTGACGGGTCTAGCCTCGACATGAAAATCCTGGTGACGAACCACTGGTTCAGATTTAACCCTTGTTACAGTCTTCTTTCCCGTAACCACAGGTCGAGCCTGGCTTGTATGTGGTGTGTGGCTAAGGAATCCCTCCTTATCTGGCATGTATCTCCGCGACACGGAAAACATATCCCGCTGTTCCCCTCGGTATCATAAGTAGGGTCAGCTGTAGTCGTGGTATGTGGACGCTGGCTATTCATGCACTGTGGTTGTGAGGATGGGTGGCGGTTTGGACGAGGAGCAGGTGGTTGCAGAGTATGGTCGTGGGGACGAGATGAGCGGAGCTGAGGAGGCTGAGTGCTTACCAGCTTCACAGCATCGACATACGAGTCCTGTGCATCTTGCAATACATTTCCTTGTCGCAGCATCTTTATTATCTCCATCAGCTGCGTTTGCATAACAGTTTGGTTATCACGTTGCTCTTCAGTCTGTGACTTTATGAGGTTCTGCTGACAGACGAGCGACGCCCATCCACGGTCTCTAGCTCTATGCACAGCAGGTTGTTGAGGTCGAGCGCGACGAAAACGGAATCTCCTGCATCAGGTCATACAATGCAAGCAAAATGTCGCATTTCTTTCGGTGCTTGGTACGACGCCCTTCCTCGCCATCAATATTCGTGTACAGCAGGTCACGGGTTTTCACAGTCCTCGAGTTTGTAATACGCAGCCATTACATCCCTTAGCGTACCCTTGGGGCAAATCTTGCACCAGAAATAATGACCATTATTATCATAATACTAATATTGTTTCCATTTTCAGTTTTGTGTCCGTTTTTCCCCTCCCCCCCTCTCTCTCTAATAGCATACCTCTTTAGATTCTACTTCAGGTACAAGCTGGTACAGCTCTGTTTTCGTGAGGTTCGTCTTCGGCATCGCTTTGGTCGCGATGGGTAGGTCTTGGGTAGCCAAGACCTACCAGGGTAACCTCATCCGCCCTCCAGCTCCCGTCCTGTAGTCCTTTACTCCTCAGCTACTTCCTCAAGGGAACTCGTTCGTCCATCCAGATGACCAAGAAAAATCCCAGAAACGCTACGAGAACGAGAAAGAGCACGTGTGCAGGAATGTTTAATTAGACGCTTTGAGGGTCCAGTTGGCCAGGGAGAAGGGCGCTGAGCCCGTGCAACCAGCCTGCCTGCTCACTCCATTTTGGCGAAGGAGTGGCAGGATGTAGATGAGAACTGAAATGAGAGGCATGGAATCTAAGATGGTTTAGAGCAGGGAGATTTTTGTTGTCTCTCTTGTGTATTTTGTTTTTGTTTACCGCCCGAGACCGGTTACGCCACCACCGAACTAGATACTATTCTTACAGAGTAATGTATATTCATACGCTCAGAATAAGCACATGGTTTAAATCTTCAAAATACTTATGAATTTTTTCATAAACTACATAAAATTGTCAGTTCTATCCCAGATCTAGAAGTTTCTATATCAACTTCTCTAATGCTCTCAAAGCACGCAACCTTTAGCATTGCGTTATGTAAATGATATCATAATTTCATTAACACCGAGAATTTTGATTTGATTGTGATTATGATTTGTTTTAAATCATTTTAGTGATTGTCTCAGAAAGAAACTCAGTAAGAAACTAAATTTATTAAATAAAAAAAAATATCAAAATTTCTCATGATCTGGAAGACGAAAATGTGTATTTTTGACTATTTTATCTCCAGATTTCAACTCTCATAATAAATGACGGGGCATGCATTTAAACAAGACATCCCTGTCTATTTTCGGTTGATTTTTCTAACTTTAACACAGCTATTATCCCTTCCTTTTCTATGTTTCTCCTGCGTCCTCGTTGTATTATACTCTGCCTTTCCTGTTAAGGCTACAGCAATATTTTTTCTCGAATAGCGGGCGTCTGGTGATAATGAAATGTCGGCG